GTTGAAGTCCGCAAGCTTTGTTGGCTAAGGAATTCTGGGAGTTGAAGTCCGCAAGCTTTGTTGGCTAAGGAATTCTGGGAGTTGAAGTCCGCAAGCTTTGTTGGCTAAGGAATTCTGGGAGTTGAAGTCCGCAAGTTTTGCTGGCTGAGGAATTCTAGGAGTTGAAGTCCGCAAGCTTTGCTGGCTGAGGAATTCTGGGAGTTGAAGTCCACAAGCTTTGCTGGCTGAGGAATTCTGGGACTTGAAGTCTTAAAGTTACCAAGGTTGGAGACCCCTGCTTCAACAGCGGGTTGGGCTAGAAGACCACTAAGGTGCCTTCCAACTCTGCTATAGGTAGTCCTCGGCTTACTACAGTTCGCTTAGTGATCGTTCAAAGCCACAACGCAGCCCTGAAAAAAATATGGCTCAGGAGCGTTTTCCACAACTTTTGCCGCATCCCCACATCGTCCCGCGATCAAAACTCAGATGCTTGACAATGGGCTCCTATTTATTATGACGGTTGTAGCGTCCTGGGGGGTCACACGATCCCCTCTGCAACTGAGCCAAGTCAATGGGGAAGCGAGAGTCACTTAGTGACTGGGTTTTACTTACTTACCTACTAAGTATTATTACCTACTAAGACTGTATTTCTATTCTTCTTCTCTTCCTTCCTAGTATCTGTCTCTTCCCACTTAGGACTATAACCATGTGACTTGTATCTTTACAATTTCTATTGTTTTATTTGTTTCCTGGTATGATTTGATAGCTTATTAGTAACCTATGACTCTCACTAAGTGTTGTAACTTTTTACTCTTGATGAATGTTATTTTATTCTCTTTATGTACACTGAGAGCTTATGCACCAAAGACAAATTCCTTGTGTGTCAAATCACACTTGGCCAATAAAGGATTCAATTCAATTCAATTCTTCTTTTCTCTTATTCTATTCCATTCTATTCTATTCCTTATTCTATTCTGAATCCTATTCTATTCTATTCCTTATTCTAGTCTCTATTCTATTCCTTATTCTATTCCAGTGTTTCTCAACCTTGGCGACTTTAAGTCCTGTGGACTTTGACTCCCAGCAAAGCTGGGGAATTCTGGGAGTCGAAGTCCACAGGACTTAAAGTCGCCAAGGTTGAGAAACACTGTTCTATTCTTATTCTTATTAATTCTTATTCTAGTCTATTACCAACTGACCAACTGCGGCGATTCGCTTTCACAAAACAAGGCAAGGAAAGCCGGGGCCTAACTCAACTTAAGACATATCTCACTCAGCAACAGACGTTTTGGTCGTAAATCGAGGACTTACCTGCCTGGAGCCTCCTGCTTCAGCAGGCGGGGTCGGACTAGGTGACCTCCAGGGTCCCTTCCCACCCTGTTATTCTTGCTCCGTTACCAAAAAAAAGCCCCTTCGCCTTTTCCAAGCTGCTGCTGCTGCCGCCTTCGGATTCTTTGGACCCTCCAGCATCCCCCCCCCCAAATTTGGGGGGCGCCAGGTTGGGGAAAGAGGCTTGTGCCCTCCACCCACCCATTAATCCCCCTCCGGCCTGGGGCGCAGCTGAGAGGAATTAAGGGGGGGGGGAATTCGCTGGGGGCTGCCCCGTCGCCCCTCCCCTCGTTTACTAGGGGGATCCAGCCCTCCCCTCCCCCCACCAACCCGTGTCACCCCTCCCCCACCAGGTCTTTCCCGCAACGGGCGGGGGGGAGAATCCCGGGGCTCACCGGCAGCTTGGGGCTGACCTCGCCCTTGCAGCTGTGGCAAAAGAAGCGGTGCTGGGCGACGGCGGCCGTCGCGGCAGCCGAAGAGGCCTCCGCCATCCTCCGCCCCGCCGAAGCCTTCGCCGGGCTTGGAAAAGCCAAACAGCGCCGCTTGGGCCGACAGACAGCCACCGAGCCACGCAGGTCTAGAGCGGCCAGCGGCGAAGCCGGGTGAGCCGCTCTAGCCGCGCCGCTTCCGGGCCCGCCTCCCGTGTCGAGCCGAGCCCCGCGATAGGCCAGTGTGTAAGGAGGCGCTTCCGGCGGGGACTCTGTCGCCATGGGGACCGAGGGAAAGGCTTGAGGCCTAGGCGGAGAAACCGTCAAGAAGCGAAAAAAAGAAGTGTGGGGGGATTTTTTTTTCTTTCCCCCCGCCTGCACGTTGAAGGTCTCCGGCCGAGGAAAAAACCGAGGAGAAGGTGACTCTAAGGAGTCCTCGCCTTACGGCAGTTCGTTTAGTGACCGTTCAACAGTACTGAAAGAAAGGGACTTAAGGATCGTTTTTTTCGCACTCGCGCCCCGTGGTCACGTCGTGATCAAGATTCAGCCGCTTGGCAAGTGACTCGTAGTTATGACGGCCGCAGGGGCCTAGAGTCACGTGATCCCCTTTTTTTGCCCAGTAAGGTTAATGGGGGAACCAGATTCGCTTAACAACCATGTGAGTAACTTAACGACGGAAGGGAGGGATTCCCTTAACAAATGTGGCAAAAAATGGTTGTAAAAAAGGGCAAAATTCACTTAATGTCTCACTTAGCAACAGAAATGTCAGGATCCGTTGTGGCCGTAAGTCGAGGACTAGCTGTAAAGGGGAGGCTCTGTAGGGCTGGAAGAGGGGTGGGGGAAGGCAGGCGTCCTACTCCAGTGGGTGTGGGTCGGATGTGTGGAGGGGGCCTGAGTGGCATTTGTGATAGGAAAGAAGGCAGGAGAAAACATCCTCTCCATTC